CACTCTAATTGGGATTGTAAGTTTATCATTGTTATCTGCTATTAAGATATAAATGATTCAGTAAATAATTATGCCTAGCAAATGTGAATATGTCTCAAAAACGATTATTTTAAAATACTCCGAGTCTAGTAAGATTGTGTAAATCTTATACAATAAAGTCATGTTTGTTTCTTTTACAATCCTCATAATAAAGGTCTATGGATTGGGTTTCAAAGAATTCTTGCACTTTTGAGCCTCCTGTTTCAGCCTCCCAGAGTGCTAGGATTATAGGTATGCACTGCCATGCCCAGCTTGTCAAACGTTTAAATGTTATTTCTCTGGTGATTTCTTGCCTTATAGAATCACATTGAAGAATATGGGTATGAGAGATATCCTGAGACCTAGCCTGTGGTAGTGCTCTGGGCCCCCCAGAGGAGCCTACCAACCGGAAGTGAGAGAAATGAATCACTACTTCCTGACAAAATAAAAGAGTTTCTTTTTCTTTGAGCTCACAACTACTGATTGGATGGCAAAGTGGGAGGTGAAACAGTAGTGATAGTGGAAACACCCGTGGTTTCTGACAGAGTAATCTTGAAATTTTAGTAAATAGAAATTGCGCTCTTCTCAAAGGTTTTATATTGAAAATTTGTTATCATTGGGAGACAAAAATGTTTCTCCACTTTTTTTGGATCTGATTGGGGAAAAATACCTGAAGGTCTACAGACATTGATAAAAGGAATGACTAATAGGGAAGAAGAATATCTCATTAAAATATGTTAAGGTTTGGCCTTGCTGGACTTCTTCCCAAGGATTAATGAGATTTGATATTCTTCTTCCGGTGCTGCTAGATTTGGGAAAACCAATTCAGATTGTGATGAAACAAAAGATAAATTCAAACTGAAAAGAGAATTGCCAAAAAGCATTCAAACTAAGTAGAGGGCAAATAAGAAATTGCTAAATGTTTCTATGTTTCTGTTTTCAAAGCTGGATTGTTTGTTTGTTTTTTTTTACTAAAACCATTCAGGATTCAATTGAAGGTGGTAGCACAAGCCATAGCTTTTGGTATTAAAGGGCTATTTATGGTTTAGAGTGAAAAACACATAGGTCTACAATACAGACCTTCTACCTCCTAACTCCACTATGTATTAAGGTGATATTGGTAAATGTCGGATGAGTGAACTGGATCCAAATATTTACTGGGTTCTAATCTAGAGCCTTAGGAACAGTCTTCACCTTTCTAAAACTTGAATTTATTATTTGCAAAGCAAGGATAATCATAGGGCCAAACTATTATGGGTATAAGTCATAATTAAATGGAATAATCATACATTATGTAATAAAATATTCATGTAGCAACTAATACTTACTTATTTCAATATGTTGATAAATACTTACAGGGCTGTATCTTGTATACATGTACTCAATGAATATTGGCTATAATTGATTCTTTTAGGGGGGTAGGTTAGACTGGCAAGAAGGAATGAGTGTCAGAGTTTGTGGCATTAGCTAATCAAAGGGAAGTCATTCTTTAAAGTTACTACTTGCAATCTAACTTTTAAAACAATTTTGGTACCCTAAGGCCAATCTCCAAGTGACCACACCCTAGCCAAAGAAATCTCTGATAGCTTATCTTACTCTTTACATGAAATTCTAGGATCTCTGAATACCTTTTGTGCAGTGTCCATGTCTAATCATAAATAACTTTGGAAATAAAAGAACATGCAGAAACACAATTTATATGAATCATAATTATTTTAGCTGTATTCCAATCTTAACAAACTATCAATATTGGCTACCCTTCATTAATAATTGAGATGTGTTTAGCCACCATGAAAACAATTCAAAGTTAAAGAGGTTAGAGCTTAGAGAATGCTCCCATTTGGGTTCTCTGGGATGCAGACAACTGAGACAGTGAGGTTTAGAAGAGATATGAGAGAAAAGTGGAGAAGTAACAGTTGTGAAAAGTAAATGAGGGGAGAAGAAGCATTGGGCAGAGAAAGATTTGAGCCTGATATGCTGATCTGACACCTCTGAAAGGGCAGTAGATTGGGGTAGGGCAGAAAAAAACCCAGACCTTGATGCCCATCTGATAAAATCTCAACAAACCCAAGAGGGAGCTCTGGAGCAAAGATTGCTGTTTGAAGAGACCTGCATTGAGCAGAAAGTACCAGGTGTCAGTGCCTCAGGGTGCTCAATCACTCCATGGTAGTGGTGCAGGAAGTGTGTATAACGTGGTGGGTTCTTTCTGAAAGTGATATAGCTGCAGGCTGCCAGCTGATTCTATTTCTTGTAGCTGAACAATTCTTTCTTGAAAGATCTGAGTGGTGCCCCAAATGTATTCTAAAGAAAGCTTCTCATAATTCCTTCAATATATCTTTTAGAATAAGGGGTTTTCCTATTTAATTAAGGTTGAAAATCAGCTGATGATATTCTTATAGCAAGATTGTTTTGGATTATCTGATGTGCCAGATATAATCACAAGGGTCCTTAAATGTGGATGAAGTAGGTAGATGTGTCAGTGTCAGAGTCATATTATGGCTAGTTTTAGAGATGGAAAGGGACCATGTTTCTTGAGGATGGAAGGCATTGTGCAGTCTCTAGATCTGGAAAACATAAAAACAGAGCTTCCTAAAGAACACCTAGAAAGAAGCTTCAATCTGCTTACACCTCACTTTTGGCCCAGTGTAACTATTTTTATACTTGGGATCTCCTAAAATACAACATAATAAACTTACATTGTTTTAAGCCACTTAGTTTTTGGTAATTTCTTTTTTGAGACAGAGTCTTGTTATGTAGCCCAGACCGGACTTGAAATTGTGATCCTCCTGCCTCATCCTCCCAAGTTTTGGGATTACTGGCATGCTCCACCATACCAGGAAGTTTGTGGTAATTTTTATTGTCATAACTGACATATTGTGAACAAGATTCATAAATACTCAAATACAAGGGAGGAATAAAGAGAGGTCAAAGATAATCTTAAGGTTATATTCCTTAATCAAAGATGTGTCATAGCAAATATTTTGAGGTTTTGTTTGTTTATTTTGGTATACCCACTTCTTTTCTCTTCTTCCAAAAACAACATTTCTTCTTGCCCTTTGTTTTCATGTAGCATTTTTCCCTTTACTTTTTATCCAACATGTTTTCTACTGCAAATTCCAGCCTATGTCTTGTCTCACACACATTTATCTCCAGGAGTGGTTATGGTACTCCATCCTAGCCTGATCAGATTCTATCTGGTATTTTAAAAAATGGAAGTAAAGGAACAGGAACAACTTTATCTTGGTAGCAACTAGATAGGCACAATGCCACAACTTCTCAGAGGATATGGTTCTAAGCCTGCAGAATGTGATTCTGGGGAGTTTTGAAAGAATGACCCTATCTGAGAGAGATGGGATGTAGCCTGAGTTAGAATTTGAAACATTCTAGTTTTTTATTCCATTTATTCCCAGGGCCAATAATAGATTTACCCTTTCACAACTTGCATAACACCATAACATTCTCTTTTTGCTTAAGCTAGTTCAATTTAGCATTTGTTACTACAAGCAAAATAACCTGAAAAACTCAGGCAAAGAAGGAGAAAATAAACCTTGTAATCAGAATAAAAGTATAAAAACCCACATATATACAGCAATTAAAGGTGCAAAAGTTACCTTTACTAAACTACCATGTTTTTAACGTATTTTCTGTATGCAGAAATTTTACTAGATCCTGCTTCCAAGTATTTATAGATTTATTCATCATACAAAATTTGTGTTTACATTTGTTTACATACCTTTCTGCAGCAAGTCTTCCCTACAATCTCCCTAAGCTTATTTAGTAAATGCAAAATAGAAGTACATTTACAAAAGTCTGCTTTGTAAAATACACAAATGGGAAAACCATAAAGGTTAATGAGAAGAAAGTCAGGATATTCATATCTTCAACGGCATAAAATGTCACAATCAAAATACCTGCAGGGGAAGCCTATTGGTGTAGGCCTCTGGCAGTTCTTTTATTGAGCCAAATATTTTTTTAATCCTGTTGTATCTAACGTTAATGTGAGAAGTCAGTTTGGAATATATCACTTCAAGCCCACACCCAATTCACTTTGAATTCAGTGAGGTGTGTTGTTTAATAGCTGATCTGAAAGGATGTGAGATACCATGCCACAGCTGACCAAAGTGTAGACAGAAAAGCAGAGAACTTAAAACTAAACACATGTGCAGCCATGGAATAATGTTAAAATCCTACAGGCCAGAGCACTTTGAACCATTAGGTTAAAGTCTATATACACAGCAATGTCTTATATTCTGTTTCTAAGAGGATCTTTTAGAATTCTAAGAATCTAAAAACAGTCAAACATTTGACAACCTGTGTTCTCCTTTCCGAATTATTCGAGTAGGTTCCTTCAACACTCTTTTTTTTAAAAGACAGTAGCTTGTTGTCCCCCAGAGTTATCCACACACAGCAGCAAGAGTCTGTCTTCAGGGAAAGGGCAATTCCCTGAGATGTGAAAGCGGGTAGTGGTTGGCTATTCAGCAACCATGGTCAGGGCTGGGACACTGACCTGCACCGGCTCTGTGGATGAGAAACCTGCCCCCACACCACTGCAGGCGCACACCCACACGTTCATAACACTCCATCCCACGGGGGACGAGTACTGCACGCGATGCGAAACGACAAAGGAACAGAATAATGTGTGTTGAGACAGGTACAAGTGTGGTGCAAAGGGGAAAGGCTGGCGAGGACTCTGGCAGGAGGGAGAGGTGTGGTGGCCCAAGGCTGACTGCGTGGCCCCTTGCCAAACTAGGTTTGCTCCAGGGTGACCGAGGGGCCTCCTGGACTTTTCTGTCAGTGTTATAAATAGGCATGAAGAGCGGAGAGTCCCAGCCGGGTGCACAGGCACTTGGTTTTCCCTGCAGAGGGAGTGGAGGTGGCCGACTCCACTCTTCCCTTTCCCACCCTGCCTGGCCCCGCCCCTCCTTTCTCACTCCTCCTATCCCTGCCCCCTCTTTCCTAACCCCGCCCCAGCCCAACCTCTGGCTTCCTACCTCGCTTCCTCCTTTCTGGGCTGCTCCCGGCTCCCGGCTCCCCACTAAGCGCAGCAGGAGGGGGAGCGTGCAGGCGCCCAGCGCAGCTCTCAGAACTCGGAATAGCGGGACTGGGGACCCGTGGTAAGTGTGGCAGCAACACGGGCGCTCGACTGGGGGAACGTGGTCCCGACTGAGCGTCCCGGGAGAAATTGGAGCGTGTGTGAATGCCTTCCATCTGGTGAGGAGAGACTGACTAGGTGTGCTGTAGCACTGGTGGGATCATTGCCTGAGGATGTCTGGCCCGGGCAGCTTGTGGGGAAGAGTGCGGGGTGTCCAGAGTCTGCGAGAGTGTGTACGGGGAAAAGAAGGAAGGAGTTCCAAAGGTTGGAAGTCTGCACCCGGGCTTGGCAGGACTGGGAGGCTAGCCAAGGGAGCTGGAAGGTGTCCCAGCTTCAAGTTCAGTACCCTAGCTTCCTGCCCCTGAGCAATGTCCCGGGCTTGCAGAGTTGCCAGAAACGTCCGACACCGAGGAGAGGATTTAGTGGAGGTGGGCTGTGGGCCAGGGTTAGTGCCAAGGAGGGCGTGCCGTTTGTATGACTTCCCTCTACCCGGCCCCGGGAATGTGTCTCTCTTCTGGTCCATTGTGCTCATGGGCATTTTAACAAAGGCTGTGACTGTTTTGTAGGCTGAGGCTGGTGGCAGCTTGCTTGCGTGGGTGCGTGCGTGTGTGTGTGTGTGTTCTGTTTTGTAGGCTGAGGCTGGTGGCAGCGCGCTTGCGTGGGTGCGTGCGTGTGTGTGTGTGTGTGTGTGTGTGTGTGTGTGTGTTGTGGTGAGGTGTTTGTGAAGTCTTGAGGCACTGCGGGACTGAGGATCTAGCGTGCACGGAGGGGGGAGTTGGCCTGGGGGAGAGAAAGTAAGGGAACAACCTTCCTGTTTGAGCTTTTTCCTTCTTCCTGGTCTGCTGCTTTTGATCAGCAGCAGATCTGCTTTGGAACAGCCCAGAGAGGGATATTTATGTGTGGGGTTGGGGACGGGGGGAGGCTCTGGCTGCGGCTATTGGTTTTATGATTGTACTCAGAGTTTCTACTAGTTCCTTAGAAAAAGCGAAACTAAGAGAATTTGAGGAGAAATAATTGAATGAAAGCATGAAGAGTTAAAGTGACACAATTTAGAGCTAAATTATTCCCTTTTGGTAGTCACTTAAAGTCAGACTTTGAGGGGCACCAAGGTGAACAGCTCAGGATAAGTGGAAAGTTGGTTAGAGTATTGTTTTGATTAAGAGTGTCTTACTGGGTCATTGCTGCCATGGTCTTGGGCAGAGTCACTGTAGAAACTTTAGAAATGACAGTGGGGATGCAAAAAACTATAGCAAATAATTGTGATTTTGAATAAGGATCCATAGGTTTTCATTTTTAATTTAGAATCTTTGCTAAAACGTGATATATGTGTTACTAAGCATAGATGTAGATATTTTTATTTATGTGTTTTAACTTAATACAACAAAACAAACTGAACTTCTTCCTCTTCCACCCCTTTCTCTCGATTGTTAATTCTGTTTTATAAACATTTACTTTCAGATCTGAAGTATAGTTAAACATATGATTGCTCCACTTCAAGTGTAAAGTGAAGAGAATTTCTTATTTTCTTATTTTATTCTTTTTGTTTGTTTGTTTTCCTTCCTGTTATTTTAAGGCTTATGGTGATAACATTACCAAATGTGGGAGGGGAGTTTTAGGGATGAATGCCCCTCTTCTAGTGCCTGATGAACTCCTATCTATCCGTCCAGATTCAGTTTAGTTAAAATCTGGGAAAAATTTGACAACTCCAAATTAATCTTCCTTTTTTTCTATTAAATTAATACCTTTGGCTTTGTCTCTTTCTTGCTACTGGAATCTCAGTCCTCTGTGTTAACCCAATACCCAATGCTGCCTTACATGTGATTTGAGTTAGATGTTCAATGCTGTTAGAAAGATAATCATTCATTTTGCATAAAGTTCATGGGATAATAGAAGAAATTCAGAATGCTGAAATTGTATTTATTTTTTGAGCACCATTATTTGGTTATGGATAAGAGTAAGTACAGAACTACATTCCTATGTATTTGTTATAGTTTATCCTTATAAAAGAGATGCAACAACTTTTCAGATAAAGGAAAAATAAGGATCAGAAAAAGCCCAAGTTTCAAACAATCGAACTTCTGATACCAACTCTAGTAAAAATTCAACACATGACATAAAATTAACCATTTGTAAAAAGACAAATAGGATACTGCTGAATTTAGGAACTATTATAAATAAATCCACTCTGCCAGATGCTGTCCTTTGAAGGCTATAAATATGACTAAAGGGAGCTGTAACTTAATTAGTTGTATTTCTTCTAAATCTTAAGGTTGCTTGAGCCTTTAGCTAATGGTTTCTTAGCATTATAGTGTTTCCTGATAGGCTTCCTCTGACCATTTCTGCCATTTTGTCTTTTAACTTCACCAGTTTTACTGGTCTTCCACTTACCTCTGGCTTATGAAAGGAATTAATTTCCAACTGCTCCTCACCAAATTCACCCAGTCTGGTTACCCTCACCTGCAGTTTTCAACTCCTCGATGTGTCACGGGAAAATATGAAACATATCTCCCAACCTGCTAACTGTATGATATGCTGAGTTTTTGTTCTCTAGAAATCGAGGAATGAGTCCTAGAAATGATGGAGATTAAAAGTAGGACGATATTTATTGATAGGCTAGCTCCTGAAGGGCAAGAGGGGGTCCAAGTGGGTAGCCCAAGGACCCCACTTTACGAGAAGTTTTATAGGGTGAAACCCACATGGGTACAACATGGGTGACAGCCATGAACATCCATTAAGATTATAAGAATAGTCACTTAGCTAATGGTGGTCCAATTGGGAAGTAAGTCATGTGGTAAGCGTGAAAGGAAAGAACAAGAGGCGGTGGGTCCAGAGATCTCTGGTCACTCACAGTGTGGTCGGTGCCTATCTATACTATACTTCACTGAGCCCAGTACTTTGAAGAAGTATGTGGGTCTGGTCATCTTGTCTCCATCTTGTGGCCTGGTTTTCAGCTGATGTGCAGCTGTGGTGGGTTTCACCTTTGTCCTGGCCCTCTCAAGGACTTAGCCCTACCTGACTGCCTATAATATTTCTACCTAGGTCATCTATCTATAATAAATGGACTTAACCATTGGAGAGAATCTCATGAGAATCTCATTATCATTCACTTTGTAAGAGAATGGAATTGATTCTTTAAAAATGAGTCAGAATTGACCACTATTTAGTTCAGGTTTCTGTAGCTGCAGTGTTCCTATTATGGTTATTAGTAACTGGTATTTTTCTTCCCTCACATAATTTTTCCCTATCCACCTAAACGTCCATGTCACATTTTTAGCCCTTGTCTTCCTACTTCACATTATCGGTTATACAACTTGGACCTTATTTACACTTTTAGGTTTTCACAACAGAGAAACAATTCGGTATTTCACTTAAGAGTATGGCCTCAGTATGCATCTGTTTTCCTATGTATGACTCTAGTTTTTCATTCTTTATGGTGGAGTAGTGCTCCATTTTATAGAAAAACAACATCTTCTTTATCCAGTCTCCAGTTAATAGGCAATTGGGCTGTTTCCAAGTTTTAGCTATTACAAACTGTACCGCCATGAACATGGGTGCACATATATGACTGTGGTATAGTTCTTTTACTTCTTTTGGAAAGATACCCAGCAGAGGGATGGCTGGGTCAAATGTGACCTCTAGTTCTAGTTCTTTGAGGTATCTCCATATTGATTTCCACACTGGTTGCACCAGTCTGCACTCCCTATGTCATATTTTTAAATAACATTAACTATTGTCTTCCCAAACAATTCAAGTTAATATTTGACTTTCACAAATGAAAATTTAGACTTATATAGGAAGAATAGAGTCCATGAAAGATTTTTTAAAGTACTGAATCTTCTGTGATCTATAAACACACTTATCAAAAAAAAATATTCCAGGGCCGGTGACTTAGCTCAGTGGTTCCGCCGCCTGCCTCATAAGCACAAGGACCCAAGTTTGATTTCTAGTACAAAAAAGAAAAAAATATTGTAAATAGATCCATTATAATTGTATCTTCATTTTTAGACCTTTCCTCACCTAGAATTCTCTTTAAATTTCTGTTTTTTCCTCTAATTCTGAATTTAAGGGTCAAGTATACTTAAAGCTGTAGGTGTCATGTCTTTTAAAGTGTGAGAAAAGACACTTAAATTTGATGACCCGAAGATTTTCTTTTTGTTTTTGGTGTATGTCAAGTGCAGAGGGTTGATTTAGTTATGCTTCTGATTTGGTAGAGTAATGTTATCATTATGACCAGAAAAAACCTCAAGTAATTGAAGTAATGGTTGTTAATCTGGTGTATGTGTTACACTCTCTCATACTTATATTTTGTCCACTTCTTCCAACAGAAACCCATCAAATCAGAGTTTCAGGGTGTGTAATCCGGACATGAAAAAGTTCCAGGAGAGTTTTACATGAACACTAATTAAGAGATATTTCTTTGCTGGGCATGGTGGCACATGCCTGTAATCTTAGTACTTGGGAGGCTGAGGCAGGAGGATCACTGTGAGTTAGAGACCAGCCTGGGCTACATAGTGAGTTCCAGGTCAGTCTCAACTACATAGTGAGACCCTGTCTCAAAAAAAAAATTTTTTTTTCTTTGAGCAGTGGTGGTCAGGATATGGATGTAGTGAAAATCAACTACTTTTGTTGATAAATTGTTGGTTAAAGGACAAGGGAATAAAAAGACTGAAGTTTGAAGATTTTAAGAAGTCAATACAATGGGAGTGTCTGAAAGGTGAAAATCCTGGTTAGAGAAAGGGGAGTGATTGAAGGTGTAATTAATGCTACGAGGGCATAATTTATGGAATAGAGTACTGGCAAAGAAAAGCAGTGCAGAGTGCAATTCGGGCCCCCAAGAGAAAAGAAAAGAATGTGGGAAAAAATAAATCTAAAGGTAGATGTAAGTAAAGCTGGAGGAACTCTCTTCAGGTGAGGTTTGCCTGGGCACTACTGTAGAATGGATTTTTTTCAAGTCTAACAATGCTAGCAAAAACATAGTCATTTCAGCTATTCTGCTTTAAATAATTGCATAACTGAGTTTTC